CCGTTGGTCCGTGAACATTAAGCTCTAACGACGAGTGTCTATCCTCCTCGCCTAAACAATAGATTTTAAAATGTGATTAAACCTAAGTCATTTAAATATAATATATTATATTATACAATATATATATATATATATTACTTTCTTCTCTTTGCATACTATATTACTATATCAAATTAATTGCGTAATGAGATAAAAAATTATTGTGATACTTATCTATATTGAATAATGATATTTTTCCTAGATATTTTTTATTTAACATTTTTTTAAGCTAACGACTAAAGATGCAATGTGAGGAGAATGTTACATAAAAACAAGGTTACACACAGTATACTCGCCTTGCGATTACGAAGAGAGATCGTTCGTTGATCTTTCTTCTTCACGTGCTCTTGCCTGTAGTGACGCCGTCAAACTGCTTGATCCTTCACGCAACCGCCTACAATATCAACTGTGATCTTTGAACCAGTCTTTCCATTGCAAGAAACTCCTGCGATACGTCTTCGCTTTCTTTCCCGACGTTTCTCCCCATGACGTGCTCCCCCAACAGCGAAACTTTTCAACATCGCCGTCCGTGGAAACTGAGTTTTCCTGCCCCCCATGCCTGTTGCATTTTTAAAGAGAGCGTGCAACTGCATCGCTATTAGAAGAAGGGAGGGGATGAGGGGGAGCGTCATTTTCGTGATTCATAATATTACAGTTAGAACTTTTTTTTTACAACAGAAATATATATTTAACGAGTAGTGATTGAGTCAGTGGTCAACGACACGCGCGGTTCGGTTGTCGACCCGCGGGCAGGTTTTAGCGTTTGGCAAAATTATTCGTCGACCGATTCTCGAGGTGTCGTCTTAAGAAAATAAAAATGCAGACCACGCTCAGCCGGCTTGTTAAATTCGGCCTTCACATTTACGGCATCTGGCCATACGTACCGTCCACCGTGCTGTTTAGATTGTACTGAATAATGATGCTAAGCACGGCCCAAGTCTTTCAGTATCGATACGTCATAGTGAACATTCATATGGACGACTTCTCCCAGCTCATGGACGGAGTTGGTAGCGCGATGGCTTCCTCTCTACTCTACATGAAACTCGTTCTTCTGTGCATTTACAGAATATTACGAATCTCGTTTGCTTTGGAATATATTACAAAAATCTGAACTCTCTTATCGTCATTTATCGCAGTCACTGATTAAAATAAATAAAAGTCAATCTCGCTGATTTTAATCGCTTTTTAATTTTAATTAATCGATTCAATCAAGAGTAAACTTGAGCTATGAAATGAATTTGAAATCGGATTCAATTCGATTTAATTTCACGCGAGCTGAGAGTGAAACAGGCGTTAACACGCACGGTGTAAACCCGATCTTCCGTAGAATATTTTTCGATCTGTTGCAAATGATGTCCGCGGACTGGCAGGATCGCACTATCTGTAATTCGCGCATAATGACGAAAACGGCAAATGTCGCACAACGCGCCTCGAGATGGATCGTCGGCATGCAGATTTTCGCCGTAGTCACCTACAGCGCCGGCGTTCTCGCTGCTAACATAGATAACCCCGAGAGAGTGGAACCCTACGAACGGGAACTTATCCTGAAGATGAAACTGCCATTCAATATTAGTACACATTCTATTTACGTGGCGGTTCAAAGTGTTCAATTTTATCACCTGTTTCTCGTCGGCTGCGGCATCACGATTATCAATTCGCTTCTCGTTACTCTGGTAAGTTCGACATTTGCGCGATGTATCTGGCGTTCGATTAAATCTTTTAAACAAGACGAATCTGTGCGATCATTTTTGACTTCATTTTATATATATATTTTTTAGATAATATCCAGGTCATAATTTACGACTTTTCAATTTGTAAAGATATTTTTAAATGATTTAATTTTGAAAATATTATCTGCGAGATATAATTATAGAATGCAGAATATTTTTTTAAAGCTATAAATCCGTTTGAAAAGTTGATTAAGAACAAATGTCTATAATTTTATAACATCTAAGATTAGATATAAATAGAGTTTATTAAAAATGATAATTTATATTTTCTGTCAATTATTTTTTTTAAAAAAACAATTATTTATCTTCTCGAGAAAATCATCAAGCTTTAAATTTCAGATACTTCACGTCAGTGGTCAAATCGATATTCTTCGTGAACAGTTGATGAAAGCTTTTTCTAAAAATGAGGTAGATTCGACGGAGGAGATTACGATGCAATCGTTGATCGCGAAGCACCAGCGGATTATCGTATTTGCGGAAAGCATCGAGACTCTTTATACAGTCATCGCGTTCATGTTGCTCTTATCAGACACAATCATTATATGCTGTCTGGGATATGTTATCGTTACCGTAAGTCGAAAATAACGCGTTCGATGTATAGATATAAATATTGCATAAAAAGTTATCGATACCGGAAAAAATACAAGCTACAAGTATCGCACGTTAATTCGTATCAAGATATTGAATTGTCAATATATGTGAAAATTACAGTCGTAAGATTCGCCCAATGCTGCAGCGATCTTGGTAAAATCCCTCATGTTTTACATCACGATGAATCTTGAGGCGTTTATATACTGCTTGTCTGGCGAATATCTGACCGCCAAGGTCAGCATTAAAAGAAATATCTGTCATTTCGCAAAAAATCTCTATTAATTCGTGAACATTTGTTCTTCTTTCAGAGCAAGATGATCGGGAAATTAATTAACTAAATTAAATAAATAAATAATATTATTTTTTTACGATTAATCACAGAGATTATGAAAAAAGTTTGAACTGCAGAAATTGACATGTCAAATAGTCGCTACATTATACTCGTACAGATAATTTTGTTCCATTTGCTGTCTTGTTATTACTTTTTGTAATATTATTATTCATTTTTGTGAAAGATCATATGCACAACGATAGTTTAATTATAGGTTGTGAAATGCTATTAGCTATTAGCGATGTACTGAAGGTAGGTAACATGTATTGTGACGATGGCTATAACAATAATATGAAGTAATAGTGCGCGACCAGTAGGATTTAGTAATACATAAGATAAAAATATATAAAGTTTGTTTTAAAAATAATGCTTTTATTCCATTTATTTCCCACGAGTTGCAAGTAATTCAAACTATATTCAACTTTATTATTATATCTTTTAATACAAAATCGAGAAGGAAATTGCGTAGCAAAGGTTCTTCTTTGCTCAGACAATTCACATTGTTGCTAATAACGTGTATATCTCTCAAATAAGATCTACATTCTTTTTACGTTTTTTTTAGAGCTTTTTTGTTTGCTTGTCTACGGCGAAAGAGGAGTACTGAAAACTACTTTAGCAATTTCGCTCTCTCTTATTTCTTCAGACTCGTGTTCTTAAGTCCTGGATTACTTTTTCACAGTTTCGAGTCTGATTTACATTCGTGTACTCATCCAAGACATTGCGTGTATGGAGGGACCTATACTTTTTCATAATTAAATCCATCTTCTTTTGTTGCTGTATAATTTTAGATTTATTTCTTCAGTTTTATCAAGTTTGAAGAATTGAAGGTGCAACGTAAAAAGTAATATTTTCAAGTATCTACTTGGTTTATGGAGAAAAATCATCTAACCTGAGAGACCGATGAACTTTTTATCTTTCTTTGCGAAGAGTAGTGTACTCTGCCACGTATCGCGGTACAAACATGTAATCTTAGTCACTCTTGTCGGAACAAACTCCCGTGTTTTCATATTCCTCCCTTCATGACGCTCCCTCAACAGCGAAACTTTTCAACTGCGTGTTTATCGCGCAAGTCATGGAAGTTGTAAACTCCCGAGCTCTTACTGTAGGTATTGTTATATTTTTAATCCGTAGTTGCATCGTCCTGAAACTCGACTCGAAAAAGAAAAGAAAAGATGTTAGCTCCCTATTTTTCCGATCCACGCGGCCGCGACGTGTAACTGTTGCACGTGATACCGTCGAGTTTGTCAAAGTTCGCGATACGTGGCGATAGGGAATATTTAACGAGTTATCCGATTGGCGAGCATTTTTTTGTTCACGGAACCATCTAGATTCCACCTCCCCAGATTTTCCGGTGTAAAATCGCTCGACGATACGCGCACATCCTCGACGCGACGTTTTATTTACGGAAAACATGGAGATGAGCACGGTTAGTCGCGTGATAAAGATCGGTCTTTGCGGCTGCGGGATCTCTGTGGACAATTCACTCATCGTCACTCTGGTGAGTTTGCGACAATATTTGGCCTCTAAAAATAAGGTAATCGCAATTTATTATCGTTCACGTATGGATCTTAGATACTGCATATCGGCGGTCAAATCGATATCCTTCGCGACTGGTTGCTGAAAGCCTTTTCTAAAGATATGATACTCACCGTGGATGGAATAACAATGAGAATGACACACCAGTGGATCATTGCATTTTCGGAAAATATTGAAAACCTTTACACATATATCGCGTTGATACTGTTTGTATCGGATATCTTTATTATATACTGTTTAGGATACATTATCGTCACCGTGAGTAAAAATCGGCAAAAGTCATACGCTTAATACCATCTGCCTATACACTCCAGTGTACCTTTGTGCATAATCTCCAAAAATCACTGTCCTATCCCGTCTCAAAAACAGGAAATCTTGTATGTTTGGCATTATTTTCTCTCGCATCTTAGACGCGGTGATCACTCGAAAACGCGATCAATTAATCGATATTTCAATACGCACGGAAATATATCTATACGAATGATTCTAAATTGCTCCGTTCGATATTATAGTCGATCGGTACGCCTGGCAGCCCGGTGATCTTGGTAAAATCTGTATTTTTCTACCTCATGATGAATCTCGAAGCGTTCATATATTGCTTCGCCGGTGAATACTTGAGTGCCAAGGTTAGCCGACAATGCGACGACATTCGAGAGAATCCGAAAACTATATCTCTTGTTTCTCTTCTAGAGCAAAATGATTGGAGATGCGGCATATGATTCTTTTTGGTACGACGTCATATCAGAGTCGGATCGTACATCTCGTAATCCTGGGATCGCAGAAACGATTGACGATCACGATTGGAAAAATTATGGATCTTTCCTTAGAACGTTTTACCAGCGTAAGTTTCTCATTTTCTACCTTCCCTTTTTTTTCTCTCCACCCTGTAACATAAATTTCGTACTTAATTCTATTAACATCTATAAACAATAAAAAATTTGATCAATATTAAAGCAAAAATATGCTATTTTATCGAATAGCTGTAAACGATTGTGCTGTGATTTTGTTAAACTGATCACTCTATTAATGTTTAAAACCATATATTCATAATATATTACGTCACCAGAAATAAATATTATAGATTATAAGGATCATATGTGTCCGTACTATTGGCAATGTATTGGAGACACAATAAGTTTTATCTGGATTGATGAAATTTTTATAATATCGTTCTTCATGATGGTATAATATTTCATGGTAATTGTAACACAATAATACACATATATGAAACAATAATACGATAAAACTCAGTAATAACAATATTCTAATTATTTTATTGTTATATTATTTTGAGTACAATTGTGCATTCATAACGAAATTTTTTCTTACATCATCACACGTCGCTTCAGATTTTCGTAATATTTAAACAACGTTATATAGAAATCACAATTCTTTCAAAAAAACTAATGCGTAAATTCTCTTTCGTCTTGTGATATTCTTTAGAGTTTATATTATAACTGTGTTTGCGAAAAACGCGCACTATCATCGGCACTGAAATAAAACTTTTCTCTCAGTTTCTTCGTTTCCTCGTCTTTTCAGTTTCTACTTTTTTTTACACGATTATTGTGCACAAACTTGTATACCACATACACGTTACGTTTCATTACGTGAAGAATTTCCCTCGACATTGAGGCAACAAAATCTTGGAAAGGGAAACTCCCTCTCTTTCCTCTTCCTCGAAAAGTTCTTATTTCAAGAACAACAAAACTTTTCTTACGGTCAGCGACCACGGTTTAACGTCTGGTGTAGGCTTGCGTGTGATACTATCTGTTGTTGCTTGAATTTTTAAAGGACATAACGCACTGTCGCACCGGAAAGAGAGAGATAGAGAGAGGGAAGATCGGCCCGGAACCCGGAAACTTTTTTTTATCGACATGCCACGACAAAGCCATATACGATTCCGTGCGCTTTCCGATCAAAATATTTAATAAGCAGTTGCTCAAGGGAGGGTGCGTTCCGTTCGTACTCCCTTCCGAGCTTTCAGTTTGTGCAAAGATTCGATATCGTGCACATCATACGATCGATTGGACGCGTTTCTCATAATGTAAAATTATTGTCTTATCAGAATCAGCGTATTAACGTTGAAAAAAAAAAATTGGAAGAAGCGATAATAAAACAAAAATATGAATATAGACAATACACTTAGCAAATCGATGAAAATTTTCCTTCGAATTTTTGGCATTTGGCCAGAATCGTCGTGCATTCCGTTACGCAGAGTGTTCTGGACGATCGCAATAATGATGGAGCAAGCACTTGAATATCAATGGGTCGTAGTACATTTTTATTCTAACGAGCCTTTCGAAGTGATGAAAATTTTAAGTGAAACAATGACATACACGATAATGTTCATTAAAGTTATCATTTTTTGGGTTAAAAAACGGTGAGATAATATTATACTGTAAAATTCATTTTACAGTAACATATTATCTTTTTATAAATTTGATTTCAATCGTTTAAGCTTATTCGCTTAAAGTTTTGCAGTGAAGTAAATCGTTTGGCAATTATAAACAATATGATAAAGTTAAATGAAGAAAATAGATTGAGATAAATTATTAAAGAGACAGATTTAAGCGAATATAACGATAAGTTTCTACCTCATCTTTGATTTATACAACGATTTGTTGCGATTATTTTCAAAATAATGATCAATCAAAAACCATTCGTAGAACATTTGTCAGGATATTAACGATGATGGCAATCGATTGGGAAAATCGTACCATCGATGAAGTTAGTATGATCACAACGACATACAATGCCAACCTGTCTCGACGTTTCAATAACGGAACAGTCATCCTTTATACGGTAGCTGTAATGTTTCATGTTAGCAATGTTTTCATGAACGATTCGGATGACGAGAAAGCTCTTAATACTTCCACGCGACCACTCGTTATGAATATGGACCTACCATTTGACCTCAACCAAACATTGGTATATGAGTTGGTTATAATTATTCAATTAATTCATTTAATGCTATGCGCCTATATAAACGGCCTGTTAAATATCTTATTAATAAATTTGGTGAGTGTTTTATTGTGTAACAAATTATTATCATTGCTATTATATTATAATTATTGTTTATATATTATTAGTATTTTATTAATTGTGATCGATTAATGATACATAAAATAATTCATAAATATACGGCAATGTTTCAGAAAGATGAATGTATATACTAAAGAAGTAAAAAAATGTTATTTGAATATAAGTCGTATATATCATAATTTCTGAGTTATGGAAGATTAAAAAAAATGTTCGACTTTACTCCCTTATTGCAATCCGAATATTTTTAAACAACTTCTTTTCAAATCGATGGATAGAATGAGATAAACTTATAATTTAGCCAGCAAGATCTTTCAATTCAAATTTATTAAATTTCTATTTTTTTATTTAAAATCTTATGTATGCAGCACAAATTAATAATGTTCATGACTCGCAAGAAAAGATACGAAATGGATTCGAAACAATTCGAACAACGCCTGGAATTTTCCAGCGAGTGATTCAATATTAAAACGTGCTGTAATGTATGTTGCAACGCAAGACGGATTATTTGAGCATTTTCTTTAATCTTCGATAACTCAGAAACTATGGTATGTACAATGTATAATCAAATAACATTTTTTACTTGTTTTAGTGTGCACATTCCCTGTGTCGATGTATTGCCGTGCATTTTTAAATCATCCTATATATATGTGTATAAAAATAATTTGTTGATAATTTTGTTATATATATGTTCAGAGACCTGCTTTTTAAATTTCAAAAATATTGTATCACAAATTTAAAATTATTAAAATATTCTTTAGCGACTTCCAAGCGTAGGGGTTGAGAAATACCGTATATTTTAGATACTGCATGTAGGCGGTCAAATCGATATTCTTCGTAAGTGGTTGATAGATATGTTTCCAACGGAAGGAAAACTGTCCAAGGAAAGCAGTTTGAATCCCTTTATAGTAGAAAAAGTAATCAAGAAACATCAGCAAATCATCACCTTTTCAGAGCACATCGAAGAATTATACACGAATATCGCGATGGTGCTGTTCGTGTCGGATACTTTAATTATCTGTTGTTTAGGTTATATACTCGTCGCGGTAAGCAACACTTTGAGTAAAGATAAATCTGCAAAGTAAAAAGTATTAATTGTTTTTAATTATTCATCTTCTTATCGCTTTCTCATTGCCGTTAGGTCTTTTCTTAATATTCCAGTCAATTGGAACACCCGATGCTATGAGAATTATAATGAGAACAATCTTGTTTTACGTCGTTTCAATTATGGAATCATTTATTTACTGCTTTACTGGAGATTATCTAACTAATAAGGTTTAAATTGGAACGAATATTATGTATGCAATGAATGAATGGATATATTATTTGCTTTTGAAAAATGTGATTTTTTTGTTTTAGACCAACAGCATCGGGGATGCTGCATATAATTCTTATTGGTACGAAGGAAATTCCAGAGAGAATCGATTTATAGTGTTTTTGATAATGAGATCGCAGAAGCAATTAACTATTACAATTGGAAAAATCATGGATTTATCTATGGAGCGGTTTAGTAGTGTAAGTTTACTGTACATATATGTATATTTGTATTATTTAAAAATATTTAATACGTATCTTATATATGCATATGTGTGTATGTACTAATTTTTTATATCTTACACTTTTTTCTTAAATGATGAACTAATTAATAGTCATTGAATAATATAAAATATATTTGTTATACATTATAAAGAGAGAGAGAGAGAGAGACATTAGTCATAAGCAAACATAAACATTGAATTCAAATATTAAAATTTTCTCTTTCGAGATACATGCGTATCTTCATAATAATTATAAATAATATTATTATAGATTATAAAAGCTTCAGCTTCGTATATATCGGTTCTAATTGCGATGTATTGAAGCGAAATTACATCTTGTAGATCAAATTTCTGATTGTTGTTTAGTTGAAGAAAAATTTGCACATAAAAGAATTGAAAACATAACGAAAACTGTTTTGCGATATTACTCACCATTCTCTTCTCACGTGTATCGCACGCATTCGCACGTGAGTGCACGCGTGTTCGTAAGAATAAACATGGGATTGTCTGGAGGTAAATCAATAACCCGTATTCAATGTTTATTAAATGAGGTCAAACTCCCCGTCATTTCTTCTCTTTTTATATACGCGAGAGTTTCATTCGAACATAATATACTTTCCACTCTCGCGTTTTGCATTTTTAAACTAATAATTCGCATAATTCGCCGCTATTGCGCTGCAAAATCGAGAGAAAGAGAGAAAACAGAGCGTGAAAATAAATTTTGTAAATTTTTTTTCTCTCTTTGACTCCTATCGAGATGTAATTGTGATGTTTAATTACAACCATATTTATGTCGCTCGATAGCAGAAGAACATTTAATGATCAATCGATATTGATCAATTGCGTACAATGCGCTTTTGTAATAAAGTTTCCATCTTTATCTAGAAATTGCTTCGCGCAATTCGAGGTGATAAACATGTTAAGTGAAACAATAGCATTCTCGATATTGTTAATTAAACTCGTCATTTTTTGGTATAAACAGCGATGAGATATGCAGTAATATATAGTAATAGGCATACAATATTTAATTGAATAAATATAAATAATATAAATATTTAATTTAGCATTCTCAATTAAACTCGTCATTTTTTGGTATAAACAGCGATGAGATATGCAGTAATATATAGTAATAGGCATACAATATTTAATTGATTTAATTGAATTAATATAAATATTTAATAAATATT